AACCCTTTCGGCTGCAGAAGTAGTGGGCCTCTGGGTAGAGTTTAGGGTTTAGGGTTTTAGGGTTTTAGGGGTTTAGGGTTAGGGGTTAAGGGTTTAGGATTTAAGGGTTTAAAGGTTTAGGGTTAAGGGTTTAGGGCCCCCTTAAGTAGATAGAATATGGCTTTGGGTACATTATAATAAGATCCCCATATACCCCATATTCTATCTACTTAAGGGATACTGTACATTCTGGGTTCTCATAACCACTCCCCTTATACTGACCCCCACTTAAAGGTTCACCTCATGGGGTGGAGGGCGGTATAGGGGAGCGTGATAGGTAACCCACGGTGTACAAGCCAGGACTTGCACTCCATGCCAGAATAGATGCCCGGGAGTCGACTCAGAAAGCTGAGATTCGAGCATATGGAAAGAACTGGATGAATCGGATGATGGACCAAAACTCCCCAACTCGATTCTGCAAAGGCCTCACGGTTTAGGGTTTAGGGTTGGAGGGTTTGCTGGTTTAGGGTTTAAGGGTTTAGGCGCGAGGGGTGCAGAGGCAGACAGAGCCTACATGCCTGTCGTAGCCATGGTTTCAATGATGGGGATTGGTCTCCTTGATCTTGCCCATTATGCAACCTATGAAGGAATGTATCCCTGCAACACTTTCCACATGATGCTTTCATGTAGCCCTCATGACCCCTGCCTTCCCCTTTTCCATCTGTTACTGTTACTCTGCTACGTCTCCGATCGTCAGTACTACCTGCCCAGCATCATAGCCGCCCAAATCCCGCATAGAAACGGACTCTGACCGACAGATCTCACCATGCTGCTCATGTTACGGGTGCGTTGCGAAAGTGAGCGCCCAGCGTACCAGAGAGGCACCAGCGCGACCCGCGCACCCGCAACGCAAAAGCTGCCTCAACGTGCCCAAGGCTCAGAAGACATGCGCATGTGGCTTCAGCTGCGGTTTCTTCAGCTTTGCACGATTTCGTAGAATCCCTTAACCCTGAACCCTTAACAAAGGGGAGAGGGGTCTTGTTACGGTAGCCCCTGTAGATTAACGGACATCATCCAGTGCAGCGTGGTCCTATAGTCTCCACACGGACCCACGCATCAGTCTCTCGCGCCTGGGCTGTGCTGTTCGTCCTGGTTTTGATGCGGTGGGCCTCACAACAAAAAGGTTATGAGCTGGCTTCCTGGTACCCGCTGGGGAACGAGAGCTGTTTGTTCTTGCCGGGCGCGTAAAGTTGTGGAAGACTCGTTCCAGAAGGGAAATCCATGGAGACATGCTGCATCTCATGTTTTCCTTTGATGCCTCGTCCAACACGACGCGGCCCCACACAGTTCGGTAGAGTGCTGACCTTGGGCCCACAAGCAGCCGAACAACATGTTATAGGGGTATATATTGGGGGTATATAGGGATAATGGAAAAGAAAATGCAAGCTACTATTATAGGGGTAATATTGGGGAGATATAGGGATAATGGAAAAGCATTTTGGGAGCAACTTTGGGGTTTCGCGCCTCGACAGGTCGATGTCGCCCTCGTCCTTCCCACTGCTTGCAAACTTTGACGCTCCATGGATGCAAGATTTGTCGGAGTCGGCTATGTCATGTCAGGTAGGCTAGAAAGGGTAGTTTCCCTAAATAAGGGGACTCCAAAATATTTTAATCCTCATTATGGGGACCCCAAAAAATGGCACCCCTCATTCTGGGAACCCCCCCCCCAACACTCGCAAATCCCCATATAACCCCTATCCCAATAAAACCCTAAACCTTTAACCCATTATCGTAGCTTTCATTTTCTTTTCCATTATCCCTAGGGAAAACTTAAATATGTAGATGCCACCCAAGCAAGAGCTAGCAGTGGCTAAGCCTCATCGTCATCGCTCTCGCGAGGCTGTTGGGCGGAGGTGGCCTGCTCCTTGGAACCCATCATGGCTTGGGTAGTACTAGAATGTAATATACTAAAAGATGAAATAATATCATAGATTATACTAAGATATATGTATACATATACACGTATAACTCAGAATAGTCAAACTAATAGTATTCTAGAATTACAATTCATATTATACCGAACTGGCGCGCCTCCGTACGCTGGGCCTTGCCCTTCGTGGGCTTGGAGGGCGAAGAGGCAGTGGCTGGGCACCTTGTCCACCCAAAGCAACCCTAGATGAGCCATTGTCTAAACTCCTAGTATCCCCCTTAATAACCCCCATGGTAGTACCCTGTAGTATTCCCTATAACCCCTTTTTTAATCCCTATATAACCCCCCTTTGAGGAGTTTAGACTATAGCTCATATTAGGGTTTAGGGTTTAAGGTTTCGGGTTTAGACACGCGCATGGCACAAGAAAGCATGGCAAAGACTGTCCGGTCCGGTGCTACCAGCACTGCCGCAGCACTATATCCTACCCCTCAGTTCAGCTTCAAGACGTAGAGAACTTCACCCAGCAGGTTAGGCAGCAAAAGTGGCAGGGCATCACAGGGTCTTCTTCCTCCATACCAGTGTGTTGAAACCGCTATCTCAGTTTCGCTCCAGTCGTGTTGCAACTTGCTGGCATGCAGCGGAAATTCTCGTCATGCAGTGGAAATTCTCGTCATGTATTGTAAATTCCCACAATGAATTCTCACAACGTGTTGTCTTGTCTTTGTCATGCAGTGAATAGGGTCCGTCCCATTGATTTAAACTTGCAGGCATGCAATTCTGAATTCCCTAAACCCTAAACCCTAAAACCCTAAAACCCTAAAACCCTAAACCCTAAAACCCTAATTCCAGGAAAGCAGTGTCACTGATCTCCATGCATTGTTCCATGCATCTGTTGGCCTGCCATGGCCTACACTAGCTGGGTTGCTGTTAAGGAAGTTAAATTAAGTTACCATAATGGGTATATGTAGTAAATAATAGGGTTTCCCCAATATAGCAACTTAAATTAAGTTCCTTAACAGCAACCC